TGAATGCAAACAGCCGACCCCCGCCGCCTGCATACAAACGCTGAATCGCTCGCCGCGGGGGCTGGGGAGGTGACCTGGCTTTCGCTCCAGTTTCTCGGCAGTACTTTCACAACAGCTACCTCCCTCTGCAGACAACTCTGAGCGTCCTGATGACCGGACAGGAGCTCTGATCGGTCCCAGCCACTGGCCAGCCCCTCAGACACGCTCAGTGCCGCCGACAGGACCGCGGAGGCCCCTCAGTGGTCCTGAGCGCCGCATCATCAGCGCCGGACGCAATTGTTTTGGTATTTTTCCTGGCCGGCAGCGGCAGCCCCCTGCAGTGCCGTCCGCCGACCGGTGCGCCTCATTTTCATTGTAGATCAGATCTCAGTCCGACCGCGTAATGGATCGGCGAATAACTGAATAAACAAAAGACTCGATGTAAAATTAGATTATCTCGGGGCGGCGACCGAGGCGGCGCGCAGAGAGCGACTGGTGGCCATCGGTCCTCTGACACCACCTGAGGGAGGCGGGGTCAGTTCAGACTGCTGCGGCCGGCCCCGAGCTCTCTGGGAACTGAAATTCTGTGGGACATCTCCCCCCACCCCACAGTGGGCGATCCGGCCGTTGTAGCCTCGCGAAACCTATCGGCATTCATAACATCCATGTTTTTGAAGCTAGAACCACAATATTTAGGAGCAACCTTCTTGAATATCCAGTGAGCATATGTTTTAAATAAGGACTATCTCTTATAGGATTTGTGCTCTGTGGCGAGATTGCAATTTGCCTAATTGCTGCTCGAATAACGCATGAATACTTTTGAGGGTAGGTCGAAATTTATGACGATATGAGCTGGGTAGGACATTGAAATGGTGTGTACCTCCATAGAAAATTGCTTCCAAACCAATTTCCTATTCAAACGATTATGCCCTACCAATCTATACATATCATGACACAGGGTAAATCTCGCCCGGCAAGGCCCCATTTCATAACGTGACCCAAGCAGCGGGCTTGGTTTTTGGTAAATAACTTCGCAAAAAATGGCCGCAGAACCACGATTTTGACATCGTCGTGTTCGCCTTGCTCAGGCGCGTCGAATGGTATACTTTTGTTCAGGTGAGGCCACCGTAAGGTCAACCTGACCTTGACCTCGAGTCAAGGTCAGGTCAGAGGTCTTCAAATCACGAAGTTGGTCAAAGGAGGTCATATCACATATCATTCGATTCGGCAGGTCTTCCGGAGTCCATTGGTGATCTTGTCGACTCTCTAGCTCAATTTGATCGGGAGTTATTGACGAAAAACTCGCATGACCCTAGTGACGTCATAAATGACGTCATGCAAGGCCAACAATGCAACTTGCAAGGAGTGCATGAAGTAACGATTCCATGTACTTGAGACAATTGAATATCATTCCTGGGGCCAAAATAACAGTTTTTATATTTCCCCATTGACTTATAGGTGAGGTCACGTGACCTACCTGACTTAATGTGACATTTAGGAAAAATCTGAGATATACAAGCTGTAAGACCTCTAAAGGACAATAAGTCCTGCAAGTCTCACCTCCCTGTGAAAGTTACTTTTGCACTGAGAGCGTTGCAAGGTTGCGACATCTGAGGATCGTGAAGAGGTTCATTTATGACGTCATAGGTCAGTGACCTGACCTGACTTGAAAGTGCAGTTGGTGTCACAAGATGCAGCGTGCATCAAAGGTCAGGTATGCCAGGTTGCAGCTCTCTATTGCCTGGGTGTTTTGAGCTATCGCGAAAACACCCTTGGGGGCATTTACCACTTGTGCTCAAGTGCACCAAGCCACGGCCAACCCTTAGAAGAAAAAAGTGTCTGGATGCCAGGGCTGCAAGTGGCTGCAAATTTTCACTGGCTCTCCTAATAGATAATGTCTTAGTGCATGCGATACAGCATTATTTTCAGTTCATCCTCGTAAAACTTTTTTTGCTGGGCTTGGTTAATTCATTAAACGTAATGTTCAGTGGTAGAAAAAAATATAAAAAGTTAACCTAATTATAAGACATTTTGAACTGATTTTGTCTACTTGCTTTCTATGGCGGAATCGTCTAAAGATCTAAATTTCACTTTCCATGCAAAATGGATGCTCAACACCTAGCAATTTTATCGTTCCGCAAAATATTCAAAGAGCGTAAATATCGGCTGTGATTATCCCCCTTATAAAGTGTTACGGAGCGCTGTCTTTAACGATACTTTTGTCCACGAAAAAATGTCTCGTGAGCCATGCAAATGCACTAATCGTAATCTTTGATGAATTTTCTGTCGACTTGTATGCGTTGTTTTCCAATTTTCGGAAAAAAAGTGTCTTTGAGGTTTCGCGAGGCTAGACCGGCCCGACCGCCTACCGTGCACCCCTCCAAGATGTAATTATACATTTATGAAAGTGGACAGAATTAAGTCGTCATTTATGGTAAAGTCATCCATATATTATCAGTGTATTAGGTATGTGACGTTTGTCGAGGATTATATAGGTACAATATATCGGTATAATCAGGTCAAGTAATTGGGAAACATCATTATTCAACGATGTGTATAGAACATGTGAAACAAAGGAAATTTTTCAATAGCATTTAGTGCCGTTGAATATGAAAGAGCCAGAGGCAAAAACGCCGCAGCCCCACGGGGTGAGAGCCGGGTCGGTGGACCGCGGAACAAAAACGACACGGTCCCGGTAATTAATGAGCTGAGACCGCCATCGAAGCCGGGCGGCTCTCTTTTATGTGGCTCGGGTTTTTATCGTCCACGCGGCCTCCGCCAGAAGAGATGGGGAGCGCATCAAAAGGGCTGATTATTCAATAATTCCCTTCGACTGTGTGCTGAATGCCACTGTTACGGGAGCTAAGAACTGGAGAGAAAGACACGGATGGAAGCAGACCTTCACAACTCAGGAGCTGCGAGCTACCTATCGGATCGCTGCAGTCCATTAGTGAACCACAAACAATGGACCCCATTAGACCGACAACAAACGAGCTGATTGTAGCTAAATGGCCTGCGATGTCTACAGCTACGAATTTGTTCGGAGTGTCAAAGGCCTCTCGGCTGGAGAGTCACACACTGACGAGCTCACCGCTTTAGAGTTGGTCAGGTGAGATAACAAACCCTCAACACACGACAGCGGCGTCCGGATGACTCGGCGCAGGATCGAGCGCAGAGCTGAGCAAACAATGTCATATAGTCGAGCCGAGGCCCGGCCCACTGCGGGCGCGAAACGTCTCACTATCCCGGCCATTTATGACACCACGGGATGAGACCCACTTCTAACACTGAACCACGGTGATGCCGACTGCCGAGGAAGACATCGCGGCGCTGCAGGCGCCCCGAGGGGTCGACCATACATGTCAGCGGGCTGCAGGCTGAGCACATATGTGGCCGCCGGGCCGGGATGGATGGCGGGGCTCGACCCCAGTCGGCCTGGTACCGGTCTCTGACCCGCGGCATACTGGGCGGCCAACTCAGCCTCGCCACCGGGTGCAGTTCGGACACCGGGCGGAATTCGGACACCGGGAGCAGTCCAGGCAGCCGGGTGCCCCTCGGCAGCCGGGCACAGTCCCGGCGCCTGGGAACAGTCTGAGCACCGGGCGCCGTCTCGCCACCGGGAACACTCCGAGCACCGGGAGCACTCCGAGCACCGGGAACACTCCGAGCACCGGGTGCAGTTCGGACACCGGGAGCACTTCGAGCACCGGGTGCAGTTTCGGCACCGGGAGCAGTTCGGACACCGGGAGCACTCCGAGCACCGGGAGCAGTCCGGACACCGGGCGCAATTCGGACACCGGGAGCACTCCGAGCACCGGGTGCAGTTCGGACATCGGGAGCAGTCCGAGCACCGGGAGCAGTTCGGACACCGGGAGCAGTCCGAGCACCGGGAGCAGTTCGGACACCGGGAGCACTCCGAGCACCGGGAGCACTCCGAGCACCGGGTGCCCCTCGGCAGCCGCCCAGCAGCCGACCGCAGACCGCCGGCGTTTTTGCACAGGCCGTCGGACAATGGCGGCGCCCCGAGCTGGAGCGTGCCCGCTTTTTGTCGAGATGACGCGCCCGTGCGAGCGGCGGCGGCCGGCGGCCGGCCGGTGTCCCGGGCGGCCCCGTGTGTGGTCCGGGGGCTGGAGATCGGCCGCAGTGGTGTCGACATGGGGCGGCCCGCCGGCGCCACATATAGCGCACCATGGTCGCTCCGCCCCCCGCCGCCGTCGTGTCACTGATGTACCGCTGCACAGTGCACACTGTCCCATCGGCGGGACCACCGGGCTCGCCGGCCCCGTCCCCGAGTCCATCTAGCTGCAGGCTGCACTCTGCATAAGACCTTGATAGCTGCAACGCCATAAATTCCGCATCGTCATTACACTCACCTCCTATGATCCGTGTAAGACATTATTATAATTTCATCTCACAGGGTGGTGGTTAGTTTCACGGTCCGGGCGCAGGGAGGGCTCTGTGAGGCTGTGCTATTCTGGGATCTGTCGCGCGCGCTCCCTCGCTTTCTCGCTCTCTCCGCCAGTCTGTGTGCTGGGGTACGACACTGCTGTCCTCAGTGGCGCGGCTCGGTCCATTAGCTGCCGTCTGCGGCTGGACAGCGGCCCGGCCGTGTGTCCGACGAGTACCACCGCTCCCCGACACACGGCACAGCACCGCCGAGCGACTGCACCGGCCGGCACGTCCGACCGTATCGCCGACAGCGCTCGGCCGTGACGGGCCGCCTCGCCTCGCTCACACGAGATCCTCCCTCTCTCGCCCGGGACTCTCCCTCTCCCACACGAGATCCTCCCTCTCTCGCCCGGGACTCTCCCTCTCCCACACGAGACGCAGCGCTGGGTGAGAGGAGTGGGGGAGGGGGAGGGGGTTCTGCCACGGCTGGTGACGTAGTCAGTCATAACTGTTCCCAGCCCAGCTGGAGACGTTCCCACATATCACCAGTGCAGTCCGACGCTGCCCCTGTCACCTTTTCCGGACAGTGGGCCCCCACTCAGGGCCAGTGCAGGCCAGTGTCGCCGTCTCACCTTTTCCGGGCAGTTGGCGTCGCAGCCGGCAGAGAGGAGCGCGGCCACCACCTCTGCGTGGCCTCCGGCGCAGGCCAGGTGCAGTGCCGTCCTGCCCTCCTGTAACAGGCCGCGGGGGAAGGGGGGTCAGCGTCCAGCCGCGGGCAGCGCCGGCGGACACACTGCGGCGGATGACGCCTGCTGCAAGAGCCCCAGACGGAAACCAGACGGTACCGTGTCTCTGACCATTTCCGCCGCCCCCCCCCCCGCCGGAACCGCCACAAAAGGCAGCGGTGAGCAGCGCGGCGCCGGGCACTCCGCAGCGGCATCTCTGCAGCGACAGCGGACCCCGCTCTGACTGTGCAAAACTTTGCGCAAACGAGACCGAAGGCAGCCGATGGTGATGTCATACACAGCCCGCTGATGTATGGTTTGCAGGCTGCAAGAGGATTGGATCACATGAGGAAAATGCGCGCCTAAAGAAATGTTTGTTTTAACAAAAGTGCATCGAGCATAAGAACTTCTCACGTTAAGCATGTGCATGTCTACACGTGAGCGTTCTTTTGTAGCTTAGCCGGTGTTTTACGGACTTAATACGGCGAGCGGCCACAGATGTGCTGAATACCGTTGCTAGTAAATGATCCTTTTTATTGTGGGCTTTGTATGGTCACGAAAGCGCGGCGTCAGTTGGCTTTTGCCTGTCTGTACCAGTCTGCTGTCTGAATGGCCGAGCCCAGGCCTAAAGCACTCAGCTGGTGTAATTCGAAGAGCTCCGAAAGCACGCATGCAATTAGCGGCGCAGGCGACGGACAGAGCATCGATCGCATCGCGCATAGTCACACGGCACAAACTGAGTCACCAGTCCGGAGGAACGGGCTCACGCTACCGCTCCGCCACAGTCACAGACCTGCGTCACAGTCACGGCGGCAGCGACACAGTCACAGAGCCGAATCACAGTCACAGACCTGCGTCACAGTCCCAGCGGCAGTGTCACAATCACAGAGCCGTGGCACAGTACCCGGATCGCCGCGCTGCCCGGGGAAAGGCTGTGCGCCCAGCGCCCACCGCTCCGGTGCCCGGTCCGCGAGCGGCGGCCCGTCAGCGGTGATAAGTCAGCCGCGGTTTCACAGGCCCGGCGTGCTGCTCCACAGCAGTCGACCGGCCCCGCCACCGTGAAATCCGGCCCTCTCCAAACAGCACGCACCGCCGTCCGAGTCCTTAATTACCCCCGCGCCCAATGCAGCCGGTAAGAAGGATTTATATGCTAGGTGCTGCATTCTGCGCGCAATTCACAACAAGCTACCGCCGCGCGCGCCGTGCGCCGCTGCGCCGCTGAGCGAGCCGGTCGGCCTTTGACTGATGACGCTCCTACAGATACGGCGTCGTTAATGTCTGCATTATAGAGGCGCTGTCCATTTCTCAGGACAGATAGAATCGGCTGAGGCTGCAGCGCGGTGTTTGTCAGAATACCGTGATAAAAGTGGATGTGCGGGGCGGGTGTGCTTACCTGCCAGGTCCTGTCCATAACGTGGGTGACTCACTCGTAGGAGCACCCATAGTTTGATGGCTAGGCGAGTCTGGTCGCCAGTAACACTGGTCTCTAGTTCGCCAGGCATCAGTCCACGAGCAGAAATAGCAGTGTTTGCAGTGCACTGTTAGTAACGTGTTTTGGTCAGGCCTTACTAATTTTAGCGTATTAGCCATGGCCAAAGATTCAAGCAAATTAGTGAAAAACATTATTTTCAAACATGAATTCGCTTTGGATTTATTTCTTTCTGATTGACGATTGTCGGATAATTCTGCAGTAAAATCGATAATTCACCAACGACGGTTCCGCTTAAATCCGTAAATCCGTTCCGACTTCTCGGGATGGCCTTGGAGAAGACGTCCAGTTTTTGTTCTGGTCTCCGCGGCCGGGCGGTAGAGGTGCTGGCTGTGACGCCGCGGCCCGCGATAGATCACACCCTCTACATCACACCGGTGATAAACGGAGCGTCGGACACCGAGAGGCGCCGGTAAACGGCTGTCATCTGTCATGACACGGCTGGACCGGCCGGACACCTCAGCGGTACATTGGAGTTCAGCGGTGCGGCTACTGACGCCGGCTTCGGTAGAACCTATATCCTGGAGATATGACACCGGTCAGTTCAACCGGGTTCAGCGGTACGGCTACTGACGCCGGCTTCAGTAGAAGCCAGACACGAAGTTATGACACTGCTGGACCGACCATGCTCAGTGGTGGACCGAAGACGACCCTGAGTCGCTACTGACGCCGGTTGCAGTAGAACCTACACCGGTGGGTTTCCTTCCGGTGAGAAGGAGGGTCCGGGGGGGTTGGGCCCTTCCGGGACCGGTTTCCACCACCACATAGGAGAGGTCCCACGTAGAGCGAATGCAGATCTGCAATCGAGGCGACAACCACCTACAAATAAAATCGCGATCTTGAATATTCGTATTGATGCATTTTGAAACTTATGAAACTAGTGGATGCAAAACTGGTCATCAACGGAAAGTAAAAGGTCGCCATTATTTTGTGGTGCTGAAGCGAGCTCAAGAAAAGTTTTGGATGCCTGGTGAGGGGTCTGATGAGTGCGTCAGTATTGTACCTACTGCCTATCCTACCTCGCCGGGACAGGGAAGACTGATCCCGCACCACCGATAGATCACTGACGGTGACGGAGATGGGAGGGAACGTATCGAAGGAATTGAGATGCAGCTGGTAATGAATGGGCCGGAGGAAGGGATGGGAACCGGCGCCCGTGCGGATTGAGCACCCAGAGAGTGGCCGTGCCGCAAACGAATATATAAACTGGAGGACTGGGACGGGGCGTGCCAAGAAAGTAGACGTATCACTCTGGCTCACACAGGACCATACTGGAGAGCATAAAACGCTGCGCAGACGAGCGCGGAGCTGTCATCAATTACAGGGTTGGTCCTCCGAAAACTATACGGTCTCTTTCCCGGCGCCCAGTCTAAGGTGACCAGTAACTCACGGATTACATGTCTTAGACTGAATAATGTATGAGCATAAATAGCAATGACTGTCGGAAGAATGACTTAACCGATGGGTCTATCTGAGTAGGGCATTATCGCATGTAACGCAAGTAACGCAAGTAACGCACACCACTGCAGGACGGTGCGCAGTGGGTAGGTACTGATGGAAATCTTAGGCGCACAGAAGTTAAATCCTGCGGACATCCTGCTGGGGGCGGATGATGGAGAGTATGGCAGTGGGGCTGATGATGCCACCGCCTGGCTGCCTAGCTCCTATTGAATCGATTGAGACGCTCTGTAGCCTTATCAAACGAAATATATAATGCATGCTGTTTAGCGTGTTCTTTGTATTGTGTTGTGTTCCAAGAAAACAGTGATTCCAGAACTATGAAGCTTCTTGCGGAGGAAATCCCGAAAAGTGACGCGTTAAATATTTAGCACAACACTACACCGGCACCTATTCATAAGCTTCCTCTTGAGGAATAATCACTAGAACGTTTTCTATGAGGAGTTCGGCGCGGACCGACCTGCCGACCGACCGCTCTCTGCTGCAGCTGCCGGCCGGCTGACCGCTCTCTGCCGCAGCTGCCGGTCGACCGGCCCCGCTCTCTGCTGCAGCTGCCGGTCGACCGGCCGCTGCGGCGCCGCGGACGGCCTCAGTGACGGCAGCGGCAGTAGGCCGTCCGCTCGCAGCTGTGTTCCGCACCACTCGGCGGGGCGGGCGACCTCTGGCCCTCCGCCCCGCGACACGGGTCGGCACGGGCCAGCTCCGCCCAGTCTGCCGGCCGACACCGTGCACCGTCACCGTGCACCGCTGTGCACCGCTGTGCACCGCTGTGCACGTCCCAATACGGCGCGCCGGGCGGCGGGCGGAGCCGACTGAGCAGGGGAGGGGAGGGAGGGGGTGATCGGGGGCGGACGGCGGGCGGTAGAGCGCCGCTCAACAGCCCTCATAAAGTAGCGGCGTCACGTCCCAGTACACAGAGGGCCCACCGACACCTGCCAGCGATACATAACTCAAACCACTACACAGTACGCATCAGCGCCTGCCGGCGAGACCGTATACTCACTACCCAGTAGTGCGTACTTTACCAAAAACTCATCAGAAGCTTGCCGGTGGCACTCCACAGAAGAACCGACCAACACCTGCCACCAGCCAGCCTGACTCGGCTGGGAAGACGGAGCGACCCGCCATAAACTTCACACACACAATAGCGAGACGGCCGGCGGTGACCCGGCCGATGGCACTAGTTTTCACCCGGCATTGTGCTCATTTAACGACGGTCTACGACAGTGTAAATGGTCTTTACGGCAGTCAGACGGCAGTATACAGTAGGGGAGAGTGGGGCAAAGCGGCCACCCGGGGCAAAGCGGCCACCCATCGTTTTAGCCCTTCATAGCTAGCGTCAGTTCCAATTTATGGTTTTCAATTATACTTCTCTTCATGGTCGTTCGAATGAGCCAGACCGGGGTTTCAGACCCATCACCATTGTTCTGTGAAACACGGAAAAGCATTTCTTGCCAGGTTACCAACTATGTTTACAATTTTTAAATGTTAAGTTATTCCATAACCGTTTGGAATTTTTATAAGCGTTCTTGTCCATGCATTGCATGGTTATCGTACATGTATTCTACCAATTTTAATGTTTTTTACCCCACTAATAGCTAAGCTGGAATATTTTTGTCTCGGACGGTATGCGCGGGGCAAAGTGGCCGGGGCAAAGTGGCCACCCCCCAATTGGCCATGGGTTGTTTCCATCTGGATAAAAAACATTATTTATATTCAAATGTGTCGTCATGCATTCATCTTGGCCACTTTTCAGTTGCATGAGTTACCAAATAATGCAATTAAATGTTTTTTCATGAAAATCCTTCTTTTGTTTACCCACAGGTGGAAGATAATAAAGTCAGCATCCATCCTCACTTAAACCTTGTCACCATCAAATACCCTAGTCGTACATGAGGCAACTATTTTGTTTCTTATATTGGGACTTGAAAAGACGCCGGTGGCCGCTTTGCCCCAAGGTATGGGGCAAAGTGGCCAATATGCATAGGTTTAAAGTTTTGTCAATATATTCCATATGTGAACGCCTTTGGAAATAAAACGCAGTTGAAATAAAAGACAA